CATGAAATTCTTCTTTAATCGTTCGAACATATTTCAAGAAATTCTTTAAGATGCTAATGTTGATATCGAAAGTCTTTTTAGAAAGGGAAAAAGAATTAATCTTGAACGTAAATCTTTGTTGATAAATTCGCTTTTTTATTCGATGGGTGTGAATTTTATTAATATTTTTGACAAATTCTTTAAAAGAATCTTTAAAAGACCTCTATTACCAATTTAAAAAAACAAATACAGAAGAGAGAGTATCGAATTATAATACATATAGCGGAAAAATATGGGAACCTCTACCGCACCATACCGTCGTGCACAACGTGACACAAGCCAGGCCTGGTTGGTCGGTGGCCCCAACTAGCTTTCAGGGCCGTAAACAGAAACTTTACTGTCTCTCGATTACTTATCTTTTCTTATCTAGCCGAACTTAACGAAACTGTTCAACATTTTCACATATATTACAATATGATTGAGGTGAAAAGAATTATTTATAAATAAAAAATATAATAAATACTAGCTAATATTGTTATATTAAATTATTATCAATCAAATCTAAAATGGCAGTATATTATTACCGCAATAAACGTATAAAAATTAACGAAAGGAAAATAAATAAGCGACGTAATAAGAATAGTCACTGAATACTTTAAAATAATTTTTCGAATTGGGATGTATTGGTGATCAGTCAAACTTTAAACGATTCCTTCGACCTTACTTACAGCCCTGCTAGGCATGGTTGTGCAATTGCGACACGGGGCGGCCATTGGCCGCCCGGCTTGGACAAGAAAACTTAGGGCGCGGGGTAAGAAAACGGGCAACAGCTGTTCGGCCACAGCAACGAGCTCGGCTCTGAACTCACGGGGCGGCTAACCCCGGTTGCCCTCTGAGAAAAATGCGCTGAGAAAAATGACAACTGCTTGAATGGACAAAACTAGCGATTGCAAGAGCAAAATTACTATTTGGATAAATAGGGCACGCTCAAACGGAAAGTCCGGGGTGATTGACGTTGATCGAGATCGGGATCAGCGCGATTTTGAAATCATCGAAATTATTCTCCGATTCTCGAGGTAGAATTGAACAAATTGGATAATTACGCGACGTCGAATGAAAATGAGTTTACCCGCCAAATAATAGTTTTCAACAAAATCGGTTTAATATCCATCTTAATTATAACACTCAGTGAATTCAGTTGATTCGATAGTAAAATTTAATTCATGTTGTAATAATATATAATCAAGTTCAATAAACCTCAACAGCCTTATGATAAAACTTTAATAATGAAATTCATTAAATTGATTAATCACATTCAACAAACTCGGTGGTTATAATAGTTGAGTAAATTCAATTTAAGATTTCCCACGCGTTTTATTGGTCTGACTATAGAGCTCGTTTTTCATAAGTTCGCAGATTAATTCGTACGAGTGGAACAACAGTGGTCAACTAGTATAATAGCTACTTAGTTGATTTCCCAATAATCGAAATGACTACTCGTATCAGAGAAGTCGGCAACGACTATATTACAAAGGTGCGTTTACTATGCGAGATCATGAGTCATCCCCCACAGTAGAGTCTTTTTAGCATATACTGGGTGAAGCAAAACTTTCTCGTTACGTTTATTCACGTATTTTTCGACTACTCGAAGTCAGCTTATTTAATCGAAATTTATCGAATGGAAAATTCCATTGCTCGTTATTTATTAACATTATCGCGCGAAATGAATTTCAGTAATCAACTTCTTTTTAGTTATTGTCGAAAAGAATTCCATCACGATTTGAATCCGCCAGGAGAGAAAGCATACGACTCGTGGGACACCGAGTACACGTAATTATACGCATGTGTAAGTGTAGAAAAAAACATGTAGTAGAGGATGTAATATCTCATTTATATGACGACTTAGCGACAGCCGAGTCATGTGAAATTTGAGGAAATTCACGACTTCCACGCCCATTGCGGCTGGCGCTAGGAGGAGACATATTCGCGCGCGCATACGTTTCCTATTAAAGTACAGATAAGTTATCAAAATTATCGGAGCTTTCGGGACTTGGACCTATTTACGTCTCGGAGGAAATGAGATATTTCGTGCCAAGTTCGCGCGTGCACTATCGTGGAAGCCGACGAGCATTGCGCGCCGTCGGGTGGCATCACTTCCCCAATTTCTTCCCAACTTAATCCCGTGGATTGTGATAATTAAAATATCTCGAAACTTAATATTATTCCTTTGATACTTTATATTTGAATCTTAAAACTCTCAAATCTTCATATTAATTCCAAAAACAAAGTAAGAGTTAGAGGAAAGCTTCTTTCTTAAAAAAAAAATTTCCTAAATTCTTGAAGGCAATTAATATATCCTTTGCATCAGTTTGGTTATTTCTAAACAATAAATCGTTTTGTTAAAAATAAAATTTTTGGAAAAGTTGGTGTTACATTACTTTTTTAGAAACATACTTATGTTGCAAAAAAATAGATTTTCCTTTCAATTTACGATTTGTACTTCGTTTCATGTAGTTAAACTTGAAAGACAAATCCTTAAAATTCCGAGAATGCTACGCGAAAAAGTTGATGGCATTTTTGTATAACCGTCTAATTTTAGATCGATTATGTAACGAGACTCCTTGGGATCCTGACGCTGTCAGACATTTGGAACATTGACTCTGTTCCAGGTATCTGAATATAAACTCTTATAAATTGGAAATATCACATCCTTGTATCCCGATGATTACGTTGAAAACTGAAAGTTATACCTGGCAACCGGACTTTTTGTAGCAATGGAACATCAATCATCGTCTGCATCGATCATTATTACACCGATCATAGAGCATTTTGCTTTTTATTCTGATCCTTATTTTCCTATATTTTAATCTTAGTTTGTGTGGCAATTCTAGAATCCCAAAATACTCAAATTCATGAATTTGAAAATAAAAATCATCGTAAAGAATTTTTGCAGCTGTGCAATTTATGAGATTTCAGTGTACTTAAACGTTTGGATAGTCGAAAAATTTGAGTTTTAAATCTTTCGTGTCGTTTCCATCAGAATCTCAGGTTCGTTATACAATCAAAAAAATCAAACCCGGAAAAGAATATCGTTAGTGTTATTGCTATAATATGAAAAAATGATGTAAATCTATTAGTATTCAAGGATTTATATCATCAACTTTTAAAACTCTTCTAAAATATCGAGACGCCTACGCAAAGTTGAAAGAAATAATCAGAGTGTGTGTGGCACAAAAGAGCCTAGTCACTAATATCCGGTTCAAGAAATAATTGTCATTTTGCTCCAAAGTACAAACTTGCATGCGGCGATGGAAAGGTTTTGAAAGTCAAAATTTTTCGACGATTCGTTTTTGAACTTATGACTCCAATCTTATTGTCAGTATTTTTTCTTATGCATCACACATCTCAATAAACTGTAAGTGGACTTAGTCATCAACTTTTCTGTTGAACATTCCATTATATATTCGTCATTCTGCTCACAGATAGCAACTAAAGTACCTCTTAGTTACTATTCGACCAATTCCAAACCTACCAATTTCTAAAGTACCTATACAGTTATTATAGAACCGATCAATTTTCGAAGAAATACACTGTTTACAAGTCTCAGAAAGGCAAGGCAAAAAAACTTCTAAAGATCAATGATTAATTAGCAAATCGTCAACGTTAGTATGACAAAGTACAGGCATAAACATCATGATCATTTCCTGCAAAATCTTATTCTAAGGACCAGAGCATCATCGAATCGATGAATCACCTAATCCCAAGCTCTTTTTGGATGCTAGCCATCGGAAACCTTTGGGTTTAACCAGCGGAACCCGTAAACGGGTGGTTTTTCTTTAAAAGCCGAAGAATGATGAGGGGTTGAACATTGTTTCGATGACAGAACAAAAGGCTCTCGGTAAGCGGAACAAAATAGGAAAAAAAGGACAGGTCACAACACGAGGTCTTTCCTTCATATCGTTCTTTCTCACTCTTTCTTTCTCTCTCTCTCTCTCTCTCGCTCTTTTTATCACTCTCTCTCTCTCTTTCTTTCTTTCTCTCCCTTATTCTTACCTCTTAGTGGCGTCGAGCAGCGCACCTTGGAAGCACTTGGCGCCATGGACAAAAGATACCACGAGGATGTCGGGCAGCGCGGATTCGACGGTCACGAGGATCTTGTCGCCCGTGGCGAGCGCGAGGTGCGCGGACGGGACCTCCGCCGCCGCGGCCGCCATCTTGCCTCGAGTTTAAAGTTATTGCGAGCGAGCGTGCAAGTAAGCTGGTGATGTGTGGTGTGGTGTGGGCTTTGCGCTTTCCGCTTCGCTCCGCTACGACCGAGCCGACCGGAGAGGAGCGAGCGGCTCGTCTCGTATCGTCGTTGTCGTCGTCGTCGTCGTCTCGTGCGCCGCGCCGCTCCGCGCCGCGACGCACCGCCCCTTGTTTTTTTCTCTTTCTTTTTCTTCCTTACTCGCTCGCTCGCTCGCAGTCTGTCTGAACCGGATGACGTGAGGAACGACGGCTGCAGCTGTGTGCGAAGACCGCGTGAAGCGTGGTGAAGCGGGCGGTAAAGCTTCACGGCCAGGGGGCAGGTGGGGGTAAAAGTTGGTTAGCAGGTAGAGGGGACGTTTAACCTGGCAGCCCACACAGCTGGCTGCGCTGCGCCGCCGCCTGTCGCCGCCCTTGGTGCGCTTGCGCTTGCTGGAGGCGGCCCACCAGGTCCGTATACACCAAATGACGCTTCAAAGGGCCCTCGAGCAGTGGTTTTACGCAGTTTTCTGGCTGATGAACAATGCTGCCAACCGATGCCAAATTTTCAGAGAGGTAAATTTGCACAAATTAACATGAAAATACGAGCGTAAATTCCATCTCTGTGGCTGTATCTTCCCATTCGTAAATCTCTGATTTTGTTAGTCTTCGATTATTTATATAATTAAAATGACGGGCGATGATGTGAGATCAGACTGTATTGGTATCGTTACAATGTTGTAAGCGGAATGAACGCGGCCTTTTCCATTGAAGGGCGCGTTCGTCGGTATCAGTAGCGTAATAAGAGGTCTCGTCGTGCGATCATTGCGTGCGGTATCGTTCCTTTTGGATTCGGCGTTCGCTGGCGTTCGCTGGCGTTCGCTGGCGTTCGCTGGCGTTCGCCGCACATCTAGGTTCGGCACTTGCCGGCATTGAGATAGAGCGGCCGAGAACGGCCGAGCACAGTTCCAGAAGTAGCGTGTGTTTTCAGGGTGAGTGACTAGGATTTATGCTTTGATAAAATGTTGCATTGCATAAGCTATTCAAGGTGACGCGAGTGCAGCGAGAGCAGATTATTCTTACCGGTCTAATTTGCGATCCTATATGGCGACGTAAGTCTCTTTCTCCATACCTATGTTATTGACATTTAATGTAAAAAAATGATCGGTTGATCAATTGGTTCGACCGTTGTGGTTACCGGTGCGTCCTACCGAAAAACTGGGTCGTCACTTCGACCGCAATTTTTCTGAGAGCAGAGTCGATATATACTGTGACAAGTGCTGGAAGAGATAATAAAGCGACACATGAGAGGAATAATGATAATGCGGGAAGTGCGTATGATATGTTGATGCTTGTTAAGCTTAACGTTCTCATGACAGCTACAAGTAATTTAAGTAGTTAGTTTACATTGAATAGATAACGCAACGATAAAAAATCCTGTTACAATTCGTATTGACATTCCAGTAAAAAAAAAGGATAATGAAGAAAGATGAGAGAGAGAGAGAGAGAGAGAGAGAGAGAGAGAGAGAGAGAGAGAGACGATCAGGAAAAATCCTATCTATCTATAAAAAAATGTATAAATTAAAACTTTTACACTTCACCAGAAATGTTGGACTTTAAGGGGATCCTAAAGCCGCCTGTATTACCGACTAAATCATATAATTTTTGTATAACAAATACTTTTTTTTCTCTTTCACAGATTTGAAAATCCTTTTCCAGGATTAAAGTATACGCATTAATACGTGTTTGTGAGGTGGAGTTTATGCCGAGAACGATCAAAAATTTCGAAATTGATATATTTTTTACCATTTCTTAGTGTAACATGGCGTCTCAAGCTGTCAAGTCGTGACAACATTTGCTTGATACAAAAGTTTTGTAACCTGTACTTACGAAATAATGATCCACCAACACGTAGTTTGCACGAACAAATAACGTCGAGTTCTTAGAATTATACTTAGATGCTTTATCGCGACGAATTTGTTATACGAAAATTGACACGAACGTGCGACTGAAGCTGCGGTCCACTTGACGCTACAAACGCTTCGAAGCATTCTTTAATTAGTTAATTCGTAAAATTCTTTGTTCTGATTGGTCGCTCAAACACTTCGAAGCGTTTCTAGCGTCAAATGGACCGCAGCCTGAATGTATCATAGGTTGTGTGAGATATTGGTGTGATAGTATATAAAGACATGTCGATGCGCTGGGAAAACAGCGACATCTAGTGATTTTGTCGGAGTTCGAGTTTTGCTTTAGGATCCCCTTAAAAGCACAGTCGATTTTTTAATTGCAAATTTTAATAAATAAAATTAAATCTATAAAAAAATAATTAAAACAATCTAATTTTTGTGATAGCAAAAAAATTCGTTGTTAAGGATAAATATATAAAATAAATTATTAATATGGCTCAATCAGAATAAATCAATAAACAAAAGAAGGGCTACGAGCCAGTTACAATATAAAGAATATTTAATATTCGTACAAACGTTTCGACGCCGATCGGATAATTTTCAATGTAAACAAAAATAACATTACATAAGTTGTCGGAGTATTCGGTCAGATTACAGTATCTAGTAAAACGTATCGGTTATTTCCCTAATGTTTGATGTGTGTGGTCCATATGTAAAATTAGCATCATTTGACTAATGTAAAAGTGATCTCATCTTATTTTTTTTTAAATCTATACTCTTACAAATAATTCAGAATAATAGACTGATATTGCGTTACAGTTTAAATTAAATTATCAAGTACGTATATATATTTTATAGTAATTTAGTTACATACATATACCAATTAAGTTACACACATATACATATATACCTTGATTTGTCGTAATAATGTGAGTCAGACGTTGAGAAAAATATATAAAAATTTTTTCAGATTTTTATACAAAATTTTTATATAAAAATTTGCTAAAGATCGAATATGGATAAAGATTGCAGACAAAGAGTGAACATTTCATATTGCCGACGAAGGATTATAATTGTAATAAAAAGTTAATAATTTACGTCAATAAACCAAATTAATTTGTTCAATTAAATTAAATTGGTTAACGGCAATGGAAATGATAAAAGCAGATTTTATTTAATAAATTTTATCTAATTAATTGTTATAATTTTTTTTCAGTGCGCTGTTTTACTTGATAATTTCATTAATAAAAAGTATGTTGGGGCTCTCTTTAAGCGTGTGATACGTTCTTGCACAATTACGGCTTGCATTCAAATGATTAGCGGCGACATGTGAATGGCACAACACTGATAATACGCAATGACGCTTATCTATCAATTCCATCATGGCGTTGCAAATAATTCAACATCATTCGGACTTTCGCGAAATGTCCTTTTATATTATTTCTTGCATAATATATTTGTTTATCACGGATATGTAAATATTCGTGTAAATATAAGCTTCCATACTTTTACACTTGCAACTATAATGTGAATTGAAAAGAGTTATTAGAGAAATATTAAATTTGATTCCTAGCTATGAAAGAAAGATGCCAAATTTTGATATAATATGCCAAAATAAAAAAGATCCTCTATTTTAAAAAATTACCTCTAGAAAATTTATAAGTTTTTTTAATCCATAGAAATATAAATTTAAAAAAATATAAGTGATAAATTTATATTTTTTTTAGACACAAAGCAAAACTAGATATTTTTTAATGGAATGTTTAATTTTAGACAAGTTTATTGACGAAGAAGAATATAAAAAGAAACGTAACAGGAAATCTTATTTCAAATTGACTTAAAAATTATATTGAATAGTAAAAGATTAATTTACATTATCTAATGACACAATTCGTTTTTCACTAAATTGGTTTAAAGAAGGTTTACGTGTATATAATAATAATAAATATTAGTCTTTATCCTTTGCTCTATAACTCATAATAAGTAACACTTTGTATGTTATCTATTATGCTTGTTCTACTCGTGGAAAAATATTACATAATATCTCAATAACAAGAAGCGAAAATTGCTTTGTACAAATTAAAAATGTTTGACCGCAGCGCACTATTTTCACGCGCATAGCTCGTACTGAAACTATAAATATATTCTCATTTTGTCGGACTTCTTGTAGCATTACGAAAGGAAGCACGATTTATGCGAAACATATGATCGTGCAGAACGTCCACGTCGCGCAACGTTCGGTTTAAGATCCATTTCTATAACACTCGCAGTACGTATAGCTTGTCTTAAAATATTAATTATAATTTTTATAATATTAATTACAATTATGATATATATGTCAAGTACATATTTAGTGATTCAAGATTGAATTATTTAAGCATTTTAAGATCTAGCTTCGATCGGTATAGGACTCTAATTTATCGGTTGTGTTTCTCACATATACGATCTAAAAATGATAATATTAAAATATTAACTTTGGAACACTCTGTATATTCTTTACCGCGCGTATAAACCGAACGAAAGTTTTTCAATTTATAAATAACAGTAAATATGAAAATATAAAAGGAAAGATATTAATTGTAATATGTTTTTTTTAATTTACAAGATCAATTTTCTAAATTGATAATTATTACTTTACGAATTATAATTTTGATTAGAGATTTGTGCTGGAGACATCTCTTAATTGGACATGATGACGAATGAAAGATTGGACCTAGACAAACCCCTGTGGGATCAAAACACCTTCGTGGGAAGATGGAAATACTTCGCGTGGATGACCGACTTCCGCACCTGCGTCAAACCAGAATCAGAGCTGATAGCTGCTAAAAAGTTGTGCGAACAATACAGGTGATAGGAAATATTTACATGTTACGCAGTTTTGCGAAATTTCTTTTTTATTTTAGTCGATTCGGCGCGCATTAATCAGTTAGAAAATTTTTAGCACTTTTGATAATATATTAAATATTTCTGTGATATACTTATTTCTACCAATTCTTAAATCGTCCAGAAATTTCAAGATATTTAAGTTCAACGTAAATTTTTCCATTGAATTCAAATTTATTATTGAGAATAAAAATGAGGCTATATGAATTACTGTATTTGACGCAAGCATTGTATTCTCAATTAGTTGCTTGAAAAACTTCGCACTTTGTACCTTATAGAATTGGCAAAGAGCCAGCCAATACTACCACAGAGCAAATTATCTATGCGAAGAAACTGTACGAGTCCGCCTTTCATCCGGACACCGGCGACCTGCAGAATGTCTTCGGTAGAATGTCCTTCCAGGTGCCGGGTGGAATGGCCATCACCGGCGCTATGCTTCAATTTTACAGGTATTTTACAATAATTTCGATCGATGGTCATTGAAAATCCTTTCGTTGAATCATATTGATATTTTGAAAAAACCAAATCGTTTTTAACAGTCAAGAAAATAAATAAGTATTCACTTTATCTATTTAATTTTAATTTTAATAAAACATGAGGTTGTTAATTTTGAGTTCCTGTGATTTTACTCGAAAAATTTATCACATAATCTGAATCAAGTTATTACTTCTTTTCTGACACACAATGTTAATTCAATCTAGGACGACTCAAGCAGTAGTTTTTTGGCAATGGATCAACCAGTCCTTTAACGCGCTCGTCAATTACACCAACAGGAATGCTAACAGTCCTATAACGACTAATCAGCTAGGTGTAGCTTATGTTAGTGCGACCGTCGCGGCGATGATAACTGCGATAGGATGTAAATCGTATTGGGAGAAGCGTGCTAGTCCTCTAATGGCTGTAAGTTTTGTGAGAGCAATTTGAAAACTACATAGAATATCCCAGATTTTACACCAATAACTAATGATTCTTTCTTTTTTTACGAAATTTGAAGTAGTTGATTAACCTGTAAAATCGACCGTATTGAAACTTTGATTTTTAGACCACCCTGTATATAATTTAAAACAAAACGTGTCTCAGATTGCTAAAGGCCTGGATTGTTGAATAAAAAAAAACATATTTCAGAGGTACGTTCCGTTCGCCGCAGTGGCAGCTGCTAATTGCGCTAATATTCCTCTAATGAGACAGAACGAAATTGTAAACGGCGTGGATCTCATTGACGAGAACGGCAAAAAACTTACAAAGTCGAAGGTATACTTATCGCTGGTTATTAAATTTTGTATGTAAAATTTTTTCAATTTTACACAAAACACATGAAGATTAATTTATGTGTATTTTATCAAATTAAGTTTGTAAAAAATATTATAACATTAAATTTCGACATTCCAAATATTATTAAATTTAACATATTGAAAAATTTTAATAAACGTTATTAAACGATTTTAGCTCGCAGCTATAAAAGGCATCAGTCAAGTTGTTATTTCGAGAATTATCATGTGCGCACCCGGCATGCGTATGTATCAATATCACACAACATCTCAATTTAAATTACTTATTAAAATTTTTTATAAAGGCTCTAGCAGGATAAAGGGGGGTAAAGCGGTCCCCAAATGAAATTGAATGAAGGCAAGTTTACTAGTTTTGAGGTGGTAAAAGAAAATTTTTCATCAAGTTTCAACTGCCTAACGCCATTATTCAGTCCGTAATCGCAAAAAATGTGCATTTTTCGTTTTTATTTCTCCGCACACTTTCATGCAATCTGCATACAAAAATTTATGAATGTAAACGTAGTCAACCTACATCTACTGATTTTTTATCGACCCGCCGTAATGATATATACCATTTAAAAAAAATTATTTAAAAATTCAATAATTTTTTTCTTGAGTTAAAAAATAAAGCCCTCTGGGAAAAATTTGAGGAGATATGTGTTCTAACAACCTATATTGTCAATTTTTTTCAGATTCCAAAAAAACCATTGACCAAAAAAAATGCGCCATTAAAAAAAATAAAAACCCCATTTTTATTCTATTTTTTGGAATTTGCAAGCATTTTCGTACGACTATTTTTGTGTCTTAATCATATTTTTTGAAAATCAACAAAAAAATGACATAAATAACAAAGAAATGATATAGATTGTCCAAATATACATATTTACAAATTTTTTCAGAGGCCTTTATGGTGCGGGATGCTTGCAAATTTAAAAAAAAAATAGAATAAAAATGGAGTTCTTATTTTTTTTAACCTGAAAAAAATTGACAATATAGGTTGTTAGAACACACATCTTCTCAAATTTTTCCCAGAGGGCTTTATTTTTTTAATTCGAGAAAAAAATTATTGAATTCTTAAATAATTTTTTAAAATGGTATATATCATTACGGCGGGTCGATAAAAAATCAATAGATGTAGGTTGACTATGTTTATATTTATGAATTTTTGTATGCAGATTGCATGAAAGTGTGCGGAGAAATAAAATGGAAACGAAAAATGAACATTTTTTGCGATTACGGACTGAATAATGGCATTAGGCAATTGAAACTTGATGAAAAATTTTCTTTTACCACCTCAAAGCTGATAAACTTGCCTCCATTCAATTTCATTTGGGGGTCTTTTTATCCCCTTTATCCTGCTAAAGCCTTTATTCGTTATATAATAATGAATTTAATTAATCAAACCGATAATTTCCGCAGTTATCTTACCGCCCATAATGGAAAGATTGGAAAAATACACGTGGATGCAAAGAATTAAACCACTGCATGCACCGATACAAATTATGATGTGCGGAATTTCGTGAGTATCACATTCTTTTTTTATCTTATTTTTGCTTACCATTTATCTTTGTCATTAAATGATTACTATGTGAAATTTGTATTATACATCTTAGGCTAACGTTTATGGTACCGACGGCGTGTGCACTATTCCCACAAAATTGGTAAACAATTCTTCTCATACTTTACATATTCGAAAATTCTTTTTTTAATATTTTATTTTTAATATTTTATTTTTAATATTTTATTTTATGCCATGTCTCTTTTGTAGCTCCGTTAAGGCAACTACCTTACAACGCTGGGAGCCGGAAAACTATGAGCTACTAACGAAGAACTGTGAAGGCAGTAAACTACCGACGTATTTATATTTCAACAAGGGATTATAATGTTATGAAAAGTTCTAGTTTTATGAAACTGAGATAAAATACCCAGTGAGAAATGATAATGGAATCTATGTCTACATCAAATCGACGTCGATTCGGTGATTTCGACGTCGAATCGACATCGATTTGATGTCGATTCCATTATCATTTCTCACTGGGTAAGTGTTATTCCATCCTTTATAAATATTGTTGTTTTAAATGGCACAGTGACGAGGTAAACTCTTCTGCTGGATCAGAGATGAACCCGAAACTGTAATATAACTCATTTAATTATAGTCAATTATTATAGCAGGAATCTTTTTGTATTTGCTATTAAACATTTACGCACAGTTCTTTCTTATGATTTTAAAGTATTAAATTTGGATCGTCACACCGACATTAATAATGGCATTTAAATTAGTATTTAGTCACAAAACGTAATATATCCACGAGATGATAAAATAAAATTCTATCAATGCACTGAAGTATATCTTACAATGAGAGAGAAGTTGATAACCCGCGATGCAATAGAAACAATAGTAAAGATATACTATAATAGTAAAAGCTATGGTACACAAAAAAAACCTAAGCAGCAAAATGTAAGCGGTGAGCAACATTTTAAATTTGCTACTGTTTCTGTTATTGTCTTATATTTTCTACTGTGATTGGCCGATTTGCTTTTTTTATGTGCCATGGCCTTTAAGGATAAAATGTTGACAATATAAATTGGTGCTTTATCGATGTCTATAATTACAAATTGTAGCAATAATTTTATTTCAATAAGCGCTTAATTGTTCCTCTCAAGCGTTGTAACGTTATTTATAAGTTTCGTACGTTTTAAATGTACTTATGCACTGAAATATTACTTAATGTTATTAATGTTATTAAATTTCGAGAAGCCTGTCGAAAGTAAAAATGCTGCCATATATAGTGATACGATAAAAAAAACTTTACTACATATATTATTGAAAAACATAGTAATATGATGACAGTGTTGTGTCAATAAATGTTATTCGATAATTGAATAGCTATTATTTTGCCTCTACAGCTTAATTCCATAATTTGATATTTCGATAGTATAAAAACTTTATAGATCGCATGAAAAATCTAATAATATATATATGTATATTTATTTTATAAAATAATATAAATTTTATATTTATTTATATTGATTACAATCCCTTGTTATAATAAACTTTATCCAGATGTTTGCGCTGACCCATTTTCTCTCGAAATATTTCGTACTCCTCCGGATATATCTTTAATAGTTCTGACTTCATCGAGCTTAATAGAAAAAGCATTAATATACTATATATATGTTCCTGATTTTAAAAAATTAATTTTTTGTGTTTTCTAAAAATATTAAAAATTAATCTAAATTCTTACTTTTTCTGCGGAAAAATAGCGAGTGCCGAAGGGATCGTGACTAACAAACTGAAGAAAAAAGAAAATATTGATTAAAATACTTATGCGCCAAAGGTAATTTATCAATATTTTATTGTACGAGTTTGCATAACGTCATCTCTGTGAAATTACCAGAGTGTGCATAAACCGATTTCAACGGGAAAAGTGATCCATGGACGAAGTTGGTAGAAACAATACGATTGCATTCGTTGTGTAATGACTGGAATCATCAGCATTCCGGGCGCGGCCATTATTATCCTTGTGAGGATGCATTCAGAAATACCCTTGACGGCGGCCATTTGTGACTTCATGATGCACACTTCGTCACCATTCTTGGCGAATATTGGAATACCCCGAGCGATCTCCCGTTGTCGCATGATGGGGAGATTTACCATATTGCCGGCAGCCACCGCACAAAATGGAACGAATCTCTGCGAGGAAGATAATTGACTTTTTTCATTCCTCGATTATAATTATACTTTTTGGTATTTAAAATAAAAAAAAATTCAAATTTTTAACAAACGACGATTATAAGGAATAATAAAATTCGATCAGGACACGAATTATATTAGATTTTCGACTTTACAGAGTTTTATCAGTAGTAGTTATTTTGAATGTAGGACGATTAAAATAATTTATCAATGACGTTTTTGAATGTCTATATTTAAATGGAATCGGGAAAGGATCAAACAAAAAATCAGATTTAAAAGAATTAACTGTAAAGAGAGTTCCTCTGCCGGAAAACAGTTTCCTAAATCCCAAAGCGGCCGCGCAACTTGCTGCAGTGGCGAGTATGAACGCCTGTTGGATAACATCGGTATCCTGCGGATCGTCACTCATCGCATTTCGATTGGTGTAATTGACAAACGCGTTGAAACTCTGATTAATCAACTGGCATGCTATCATGCCGAAGGCGGATCTGACGGAAATATGGCGGACGATTAAAATAGAAGAACGAATTGATTGGGAATTTATGAATGTGGGATGCATTTTTTATTATTTGTGTAGAAAGTTAAGTATACTAGTATACTTGTAGAAGGTCAACATGGCAGCAGTGAGGGTGACAGAAGCAGGCAGCTGGAAGGACATTCTTCCTATCACGTGCATGAACTCGCCATTATCGGGATGAAAGGCACTATCCTTGAGCTTCTTCGCATAGATTATGTCCTTTCTCTGCAGGCCTTCTGGCTCCTTCCTGGCCCTGAATAACAGAATGAAATAATATTAATTGTATGTTGATTACCTCGCGCATTAATAAATAAGAATAAATATTAATTTTAAAAATTGATAACTTTTTTTTCCGACTTATTTTTTTTACATTAGGAGTATTTTTAATAATCTTTTATACAATAAACTTGATTTTCTTAAAATTAAAAATTTTACTAATTAAGTTGATAAAGAATAATTCAGAAAAAGAAGGAGATAAAGTTGTACAAACTTACTTATAGTCTTCGCAGAGCTTTTTTGCTTCCCACAATTTGTTCTCTGGTACGAGTACCGTGCGGCAGTCGGTGATGAAGGCGTAATGCATCCATCTTCCGAGGTACGTGTCCTGGCTCCAAAGTGGTTTATCGACATCAATCCTACCTTCGGATTTATCTCCAAGATCACTACCCTTCCCCTTCATTTTCAGCCCATCTAGTGTCTCTCTTGTTAATTGACAGCTCGAATTTATTAATTAAAAATACTGGTATAAGCAAAATACATACGCGAAAAAGACTACGATAAATGCGAAAAATTAAAATAAATGCGAATTTTGCTAAATCAATTTTTTAGACGGTTACGTTGACGGTTTTAATTATTAAGAATAAAAGGTGCGTGATAATGTTGATATGATTTCTGGCATTCTTTGTCTCATAGCGCTTATTTATTCTGTTTGACATAAATGGCACTTTGTCACAATAGTATTTGACAGTACATCATGAACTTGTAATCAAATCTCTTGACATAAATATTATAGATAAAGTATATTATGCGTTTTCTACATTGCATGTCGATATTGCGTGTGGTAGAAAAACAGGCAGACTGCTAGTTTCATTCTTTTACGTTGCTTTGACAACCGCTTTTACATATTTTCAAGACATATAGTAATACAGAATGTATAAAAAGTACTCCTGAATATCTTGAAAAATGTGTTTTTTTTAAATTGTTTCAAACAAAAGCGATAGAATTACGCATTTTATTATACGTATAACTGTAAACGTATAAGCACTACTTTTGTCATAAAACTTTTATATTGGCAAAATATTCGCCAATTTTTACGAAACACCGACAAAATAGAATAGTTTTACTAGGAGAAACACTCCCAGTGTAAATTTCATAATAATGCCAAACTTATATAGATTTGCTATTTGGATAATCAATAAATGAAATTCACTATATTTATAAGTCTTGAAGCAAAAAATCTCAATTATACTCGAATTTTTGTTGGCGATGAACATTTCACTTATTGATTACTTAAGTAGTGTGTGTAACAGATCTATATATAGGTTTATTCTGTGATATTTACACTTAGAATAAATTTTCCTTTAATTAATTGCCAAAATGGCTGATTATTCAAGATAAACGTAATTATTTTTTTAAATGACATTTTTTCATGTTTTACAATTTATATTATTCGTCCATTAATCTGCAACAATTTTAACATATTGTTTAAATTTTTTTTTAGTAGTAATTCGCGGAAGGCATTTGGTGCACTATACATTTGAATTTTGTGTCCGATATTTCAGAAATGTCACAAGAAATAAATATAAACACGGGAACAGAAAGCATTTATTGGCGAAATACTAGCCAATTTCTAAAGAAACATTTTGACGCGAAATAGATGGTATTTGTCCTCTTATAGGACTCTGTACGATTGATGTGTGACGCATAAGTCGCGATAATAAATCGCACACGCATAGTGTTAATTTCTCTCTCTCGTTATAGTTAAAAGTATTAATAACTTTCTTTTCGTTAACTTAATACAATAAATATGGAAGTGTCTGATGATTCATTAATTATAAATTATCGTATCTTGGGATACAGATTTGATATCTTAGCGGCGATGTTGTGGTATATTTTGATATTATGGAATATGATGGAGCAGGATATAATTGACGACTACAGGGAATCTCGATTCAAACACAGATATCAATGAAAATACATAGTAGGCATAGATTCGATACACTACAGATATACCATCAACTCTTGGTTCCTGTCCAACATCTATATAAATTTTTCTATGTGCTCCCGGCTTAAGAAATTACCACGACCAATCACAGTCGAATGTGAGAAGAATAATCGACTGTGATTGGTCAATTTTTTACTCTTACTTCTTAAATCAAGCTTACTTCGGATATTATAGACGACGCTTTAAGCTTAAAATACCTATTGTAGATCCGGGGTAATGCATGGTTATTTTTATACCAAACTTGATTGCTGATTCTAACCTTCACAATCTACACATGGTTATTTTTATAACCAAACCTGATTGCTGATTCTAACCTTCACAATCTACTTGCTAAGGTTTGTTGGCGAATAAAATACTCGTGCAATTATTTAAAAGGAATTATTATTCACTGAGGATTTAATATAATTTTCAGATGTCTGAATTAACAGAAGTTGAGAGTAGTAAAATTTTCGGAGGATGGCAGAAGATATATACACACAATAGGTAAATATATAAAACATATGCTTTATATTTATACATAAAAAAACCAGTAATCTCTAAGGCCGGAATCAGACTACACGTTGAAGATTGAGGTTGAAGATTGAAAATTGAATACTCCTCCCCACTTAAAATCTTAATAAAAAATATTCTCATTTGACGCGTTTTCACTCAAAACGAAAGAATCTGGCACAAAAACGCTGTGGTTAGCCTCGTGAATCGATTTATTAAACGTTAAAGTTTGAGACTACAGATTAAGATATCTATTATCCCGACTCGGTACAGCGCTATACACATAAGGGTCCACTAAAAGTCCCGGGCCGGGATAAATATTTCAGAAAATATGCATTTTTGAGAAAAATGTTTCAGACAAAAGTTGTAGGGTTTAAAAAGATCTATTCACTAATCACATCCGCTTGACTTTGGGTGGTGCCACCAAGGTCAGGTCAAGGTCAAATTAATTTTTTTAAATGGAACACATATACAGGGTCCACCAAAAGTCCCGGGCCGGGATAAATATTTCAGAAAATATGCATTTTTGAGAAAAATGTTTCAGACAAAAGTTGTAGGGTTTAAAAAGATCTATTCACTAATCACATCCGCTTGACTTTGGGTGGTGCCACCAAGGTCAGGTCAAGGTCAAATTAATTTTTTTAAATGGAACACCCTATTTTTGATGTCAGAATTTAATAGCTGGTGTCAAGAGCTTTCTAAAACACTATAATAAAGTTATTTTTCATTAAGTACTTTTCGAGTTATAAGGTTTGAAAGTACACCGCCAGTACAGTACCGCCGGTATTAGCATTACACAAGGTGTCCGATCGATGGCTAAAATCTCTTGAATGTTGTTCAGGATCATGTCCTGGGTAACATTCGTCAAGATCAAAGTCATTGGAGGTTGTACCTCTTATTTTCATTTTTACGTAAAAATGAATTCTTAGTGCAAAAATGAAAATAACAGGTACGACTCAAATGACAACTTTTGTCTGAAACATTTTTCTCAAAAATGCATATTTTCTGAAATATTCAGCTGGCCCGGGACTTTTGGCAGACCCTGTATACGTTCTGCATTAATTACACAAATCATCTGCTTCACAAACACAAATTCACTGCTTTAAAAATACTAATTCACTGCTAATGCAAAGAATTTGTGTGCTTAAAGCAGTGACACACAGTATGAAATATTTATTATAAATCATTTTTGGAAATATTTCAATAAAATATTTAAAAAATATTGCGTAAACATTTGAAATACGTTTTAGAATATTCCATTGAAATATTTCACGAAAATATTTTAGAAATATTCTAGAAACATAAACATTTCAGGAAATATATCTGTACAAACTCTGATTCCTGGACATATTTATATTTCAGAAATATTTTATGAAATATTTCAAAATATTTCAAATCTTGCATGAAATATTTCGGAAATATTTCATGCTGTGTGGGGAATTTCTGTTTTTAAAACAACGAATTTGTTTTTAAAGTAGTGAATTTGTGTTTTTAAAGCAGTGAATTTGTGTAATTAAAGCAGAACGTACACATAGCACTGTATCGAGTTGGGATGACAGATATTTTAATCTCTAAAATCTCGAACTTTAATGTTTAATAATTCGATTCACAAAGCCGACCGTCGCGTTTTTCTGCCAAATTCTTTTGTTTTAAGGGAAAATGCATTGAATGAGTATATTTTTATTAAGATTTTAGGTTAAGTTAGGGGGGTATTCTAAATAATTACCCTGAATTTATTTTGAAGTATTTTGCATAGTCTGAAAAAATGATTATAATTGTTTAATAGTACTGAATTGGGATGCAAGATGAGATTTGCCATCTCTACATACCATCTCAAGCTGAGAAAGAATCAGTACCAGTTATCTACTGGTTATCCGGTCTCACTTGTACAGAGGCTAATTTTAGTCAGAAAGCTGGAGCGCAAAAATATGCTGCAAATCATGGTGTACTTCTTGTCATACCTGATACTAGTCCAAGAGGATTGAATATTCCTGGGGAGGATGATAGTTATGACTTTGGTACTAGTGCAGGATTCTATGTAGATGCGACATGCGAACCATGGCAAAAAAAACTACAGGATGTACAGCTATATTACAAAAGAATTGTCAACATTGATTAACAAAGAATTTCCAACTTTGCCGTCTAGACAGTCTTTAATGGGCCATAAGTATAAAAAATAATCCTTTGGAATACAGGAATATTTCGGCATGTACTCTTTAAAATGCTTCTTCTTTCCTGTTGTTTAGTATGGGAGGACATGGCGCTTTAATTTGTGCCTTCAAAAACCCGGGACAGTTCAAGACAGTTTCAGCTTTTGCACCCATAAGCAATCCAATCTTATGTCCATGGGGAAAAAAAGCCTTCTCAGGATACTTGGAAGGATCAGAGGATAATGCTGCATGGAAAGAATGGGATGCTACCGAACTAGCAAAGAAATATAATGGCCCATCTTTGGATATTTTAATTGATCAGGTTCTAATAATTTTTAATTGCATCTCTAACATGTGTTAATATTTAATTTATTATCGTGCATTTGACTTTTTTAATTTTTTAATTCAAACGATTCATAATTCTATAATTTGTATATTTACAGGACAAAGAGGATAAGTTTCTGAAAGAAGGCCAATTATTACCAGAGAATCTGCTAAATGCTGCAAAGGATAAGGATAACATCGCGCTAACTATCAGATTTCAAGAGAGATGGCTATGATCATAGTTATTACTTTATTACTACATTACTACATACTTATTACTACATTTATTGAAGATCACTTTAAGCATCATATGAAATATCTTAAAAATTAAGTTGTATCCAAAATTACTTTACCAAAAATTGTTTAAAAAATTGAGACTTTAATATCATAATTTACAACATTTATATTTCTTACGCTTTTAATGGAAATTACATTGAAATAAATTTAAAAAATACTAAAAATATGTTTATAACTTTTGAGTTTTACATGGATGATATAGCATAACTTTTATACTTCCTTATTTTATTTTTTCAATTTATATTTTACTACATGTAAAAATATGGAATATAAATAATAGAAATATTGTATATCTGAATTTTTGTTTCTTTTTTTAGCAAATCTATCCTTGTACGATGATTGAAACTTTACAATTTATCCATAGAATATGCCGTAAACAATATAAATTGAAATCTAAATTTAGAAAAAGGGGAAATATTATGATCTTGGAGGTTCTCGGAATCCATGCCAGAGACTTAGAAGAGGTTCTCGTTTCTGCCAAATATTGGCATTACCCCACACTTGCCAGAATCTGTAATTTTTAGAAAAAAAATTATGTGTGCGTGCGTGCGTAGTTTATATTGATATCTACTAATCTACTATCTTTTGATTTATATCACTCTCTTGACAAATAGTGAATTTTTCCTAGAAAAATTGTTTAGCATTGCTTAAATTTAGAACATTACGTGTTGATATTTCTTATTTTTTAAATTCACTAAAATATAGCAGTAGAAATTGCTTATTTTATGAGAATTATACCATGTAATAAAACTTACATTCCAAACAATGCACCACCTAAATGCGCAGCATGATCAAAATATTTCCACCCTAAGATACAACCAACAACATCCAAAGTCATTATTCCTTTAATTGCCTATGTAAAAAATACAATAAATATAATTATACCATGGAAGACTATGTAATATTATCTTTATGTTTGCGTTCACATAACTTGGATAAGAGAGATGAGATACTTACCATACCTGCTGTAAACGTGAGTATGGGAAGGAAAACTATACTGAGTCGTATATCAGGATATTGTGTACATACAAATCCAAGAATACCCATGATCGCTCCAGACTAAAATAAAAACTGAAAGTTGAAACTTATACAGTGGTAGATACAATAGAAAATATAGACATACGCAAAAAACAAAAACTGATGAAACATTACTGATGATATATCATTACTTTCAGAAAATTTTCAACATATCTGCAATATATAAACTATTTATTACTTTAATTGATCAAATTAAAGTTAGTTACCGCTCCTAGAGAAAGACCTGGCATTCCAAACATACTTTTATACACATGACTAGCGAAGCTGGAAATTACTCCGCTTGATAAATACAGAGCCAAAAATTGCTCCTTCCCCAACGCTGTCACAGCTATTGTGCTAAAGCTGTGTAGCACGTACATATTCGCAGCCAGATGGATTATGGAATAATGTGAAAAGGTGGAAAGTACCATAGACCAACATGACGCACCTTACATGAAAATTATCTTAATCAACATTTACAATTCAGAAGTAAAATAACTGCTACGAACTGCAAGCATCAATTACTCAAGACGATGGTATCACTTACTAGAAGCCGGATTGGCGCAAAAGTAGCGCACCATTGTTTTCTGCAATGTCGGCACTCGCCACACTAAGAATATAACTACGTTTATAAAACATATAGGGACAAACATCTTCTGTCCTTCGGTCAAGTTTTGCCACCATGATTCCATCTCGTTCTTCCATCCTGTTCGCTAACCAATGTATTATTATGTATATTAAGGTATCTATTGAATGTTTCTCCAAACAATACATACTTTAACTCGAAACTGTCTGTAACGATGGATTAGTCTATATGTCTGGCTTCTGATACGTTCATACTCCCAAATTGCAGCACCTGCTATAGTGGCTCCGCTGAACTAATGAAACAAAAATGCAAAATATTCATGTCGTTTACTCACTTTAAGAGAAGTTAGTATTTAAAAATACTTTTAAAAAATTATAGACACGCACGCACACGCACGCATGTACATGCAAGCATATATATACACAGGGTGTTCCAGAATATTGATAAAAAACTCATGTTAGTAAAAATAGTTGCCAATAAAAAAATGCAATACTAAAAAGTACATAAATAATTCTGAAAAAATTCTTAGAGCTTTATAAGAAAATAAACAATTTTTGTCTCTTGCTATTTCTCTGCAAAATTAATAGTACTCGAATAAAAAATTATTAAAAATGAATATTCAGCGATTTTTAGTTATAAATATCTTGTTAACTATTGCGAAAATTGCAAAATGATAGATGACTTTTCGACTCAGTTTAATCCGGTCTATCTATTCACGAAATATGGATTGGCGGTCATTCTGGGACACTCTGTATATATGTTCATAAAAATCTATAAATATAAAATATCTATAAGTGTTACATCAAATCTTGTTTTTAAGATTGTCAACAACCATTTGAAAAAAAAGGAAAAGAAAGAAGTTAGTGATATTTCTGTTATTTATAAGTTTTTGTTCTTTCTTCATGCACAAGTGAAACAGTACATTCTGTTAATAGCTAAAAATAGCTTTGTTGTCTTATTTATTTACCATAATGGTGAAACCAAGATGTTTCCATAACTTTGCAGATGATACAGTTCCAGTCTCGATATGAGCATTAGGAAAAGGAGATTCTGATTTGAAGATCTGCGACCTCTTTAAACTTCTTATTTGTCTGTACTGTAATACTTGCTGCATTTTAGCCTTGCAGTGCTGTCTATTTATGAAAACACTAAAATTCCATAAATACATCTGAATACATTTCAATTGTAGCAAATATAAGAAATTACAATACAATTGTATACCAGATTTTTAATAAAATATTCATTTAGAATATGAAACAAAAAGGAACCATAATTTGTACATTTTTACAAATATAAATATGTTATGTTCAATCTAATATTTTCTTAATTTATAATCTTTATACAATGCAAAGATATTTATTATTTTAGCAAAGCTACATTTTAAGTAGCAAAATAACATTATTATTGAATTACAAAGTATTTCATAGCTTGTCACCAACAAAGGAAAAAAATTCAATATTATAATTTACTGCAACACAAAAGATAAATTATTTCTATATAATTCATTACAGATTTGATAAAAAAAACATAGAATTGACATTATGTCATTCTAAGGATCTACAATACTATAACGTTACAATTACAGTCATTAAGAATTACAAAATAGGTCCTTAAATTTATCTTCTGAAAGTTCTGAAATGTAGATATACTTTAAGAGATAAAAAATTATCATGCAAATATAAGAAATCATGAAATAGTAATTATTCAGAAAACGCTCCTCACCTTCAATTTCAACGAAATTATGCTCATTCGTTTTCGCATGAAACGGAAGAATCTGGCAGTAAAATGTATTCAGTCCCGCGAAACGGGATATTAATTGTTAAAGTTATACTATTATTAGGAAATCTGTCACATCGATGATACAGAGGGTTACAGAAATTGTCTGTTTTATAAACATAAATTCTCTATTACAAAAACAAAAATTATATAGAAAATAGTTTGTTCCTAAAGCAGAAAATTTGTATTTTTAAAGCAAAGAATTTGTTTTTAAAGTAGAGAATTTGAGTTTATAAAATAAAGAATTTATGTATCCCTTTATGCCATTCATATGACAAATTTTTTAATCTAACAACTATTAACTTTAACCTTCCGTGAACTAGGTGGAGTGCGACATACCCCAGCAAGAATTTCTATAACTTCTTAACAAGTACTGCGCATATGTGTTGCCGATTTTGTGCAATTAAAGAGTGCGTTGGTACCAATCACACTATATTATAGTATATTTATAATAAAGTATAGAGCATGGGGTATACCCACATTTGATCCATGTTGATTTTCCACCTGGTTCACAGAGGGTTAACGATTATTTAAAAAAAAAAACTGTAACGATTAATATCTTGCTTTGAGGGATTGAGCACATTTTAATGCCAGATTCTTTCATTTCATGCAAAAACGCATCGAATGAGCATAATTTCATTGAAATTGAAGGTGAGGAGCATCTTCTGGATAATTACCAAAATTTCAAAAAAGTGACAGTCTAAAGCCCCGAACACAATACGAGGGGAATAGCGATAGAAATAAAATGATTTTAGCCTATCAGAAACTGTATATACCGGTGTCTGATCCGATGTATATCCGATTTCTGAGGATAAAATTGTTATTTCTATCCCTATCGCTATTCCCTCGCATTGTGTCTGGGACTTTATAGTAAACACTAAAAAATCCGTACCATCTGTTTGTTATGTCGCCCAAACGTAAAAGCGTCCCGACCGTCATACTATTAGAATTTCCTATTCGTTTGCAGAATGCATAAATATTCCATATACGCTAGATAAGTGAAAATTTTAATCACGCAAAATCTACATAACCTCTCATGTCATGTCTAACTCTTCTGATAATTCTGATAGATTCAGATAGAATACAGATCAGTGTTGCCAGCAGTGATGGGAAATTGGCCCCGCGCAGCCAGGGCCGACAATCTCCCCTCTTGTTTCTCCCCCTATTGAATTATCTTAATTTCAGCAATACGTGTACATACATACAGCAAAACTTATACATATGTGTATTTAATTAATCATTTTGATGCATATTGTACCAATTTAGTACATCATTCTTTAAATACATTACAGAAATTAAAATAATTTAATAGAAAATTATGGCCGCAGCACAGACTCTTGCATAACGCATAATGCATAGTGCATAAGGGAATCGACCAATCAAAATTCTTCTTTTCCATGGAATGGAAGGCAAGAAAAGATTCTGATTACTAATACGCGTATCTAGGGTTGGGTATTATGCGAAGCTAGGAAATATTATGCATTTTATGCGCAGAATATGCACATAATGCAGAAAATGTGCATAATATGCAGAAAACGTGCATAAAATGCAGAAAATAACACGGATGCAAACATAATGAGTGCATCCAGAAGAGCAGAGCACTCAGTGAGCTCTTGTATCTGATTGGCATATTCCATTAGAACTAAAAATATAGACCAAACAGGTACAAGAGCTCACTGGCCTAGTTTCCATCA